TTCTGAGCCCCTTGAGGATCATGCCACCTCTTATACACAGTCCGTACGAAGTCTTCCAATGTCTGGGTCTGAGCCCAGGCATCGAAGTTTTAACCATAGCCCAGTTGCTGCACTAACTCGTTCAACCAACGTGCTGCCGATCCCTCTAAAAAGGAGGCAGTAACTATGACTTCCTGCTCTGGCCTTGTGAGCTTGTGACTCACATACCAGGTATCCAGGTCCTCTTCCTTCTTTCTGTCGCCAAAGACGGGCTTAGGACTCAGCAAGGGTATCTTGGGTATCCATTGCATAGGCTGGATTGGCCCAGGAGACTGTTGCAGTGGCTGCATGGCCACTGAGACAGGTTGCTGCACGTTAACATGGGCCTGTCCTGACAATGGGACTGTAGTTACCACCGTCGTGGATGGTACGGTAAAAGCTTTAAGGACCGGACCATTAGTTGCAACTAGACCACCTGGAGGGGTCATGCCAAACGTAGGGGAGAAAAAGGGCCCTGTTGACGACGGCGTCATTGAGGGGCCCGCAACCGAAGGGGGAGCTACAGCATACTGAGGCTGCCTCATGAAGGGATGAGGAGCCTGCAGTGCAGCCAAAAATTGTTTCTGGCCTGCCACTAGTTCAGCCAACACTTCCTGTTGAACAACCTGTGTTTCTGCTACGCATTGAAGCGAGTTACGCAGAGCTTGCATCGCAGGGTCAAGTGTCGACTCATCTAATGCTTCCAATTTGCTTAACTCCTGTCTCCTACTCCCTAGTCTAGCTTTTCTCAAGATAGCACGCTATCTCCTCTCTGCTGCCTCTCTCAACTGCCGCTGCAGCTCGTCATGAAGTTCTTCTGCTTGGAGGATCTCATAATCCTCCGGTGTGAGTTGAGTTTGTTGGCTGACTTGCAAGCCAATGGCTAACGGAAACCTGAGAAACACTCTGACTCATTCTTGACGAAGAGGCCTGAGAAGAGGCCTGTGACATGGTAGAGGAGGTAGCCATAGTCGCACCTGTGCTAGCTATACTCCTAGCCCCGGCGCTGGCCTCGGCGTCCCTCGTCCTCCGCAATGTCGCCCTCTCCCGAGCTTCTCTCCGCAGCCTCCTTTCCTCTCCTGGACCTAACTCTAGGAAGGTCAAAGGTTGACTGAGAGCAGTTCTCCGAGTGACCCTAAGATCTTCCACTAACTCCTCCTCCTTACTACTAGCAGCTTCACTCATGAGCTACAGTGGAGTGTGATCTAAACTAGAATCCACACTGAACCCTACCTCAGCGTGACACTCAATCGAGTATGATTAACAACTATTTTCGGTCATTTCTGGAGAGAAACAATTTAGTGGTCAATGACAACTAATGTCAGATCCTACAGGGGATACTAAATCTATTTTTAGATTACTCTGAAACAGATTGCATGCAGCAAGAAATACTAAATATCTGCAGCTGTCTGTTAGTTGTTAGTCAAGTCCGTAACAACTAAATAATCCAAAATAAAAATAGTGTCACTTGCAGAGATCCATGCTGGATGGAATATTTTCCTAATTAATAACTCGGCGAAACAGTTATCGGAATCCCACCTCTCCCTATATCCTTCTTGAGTGGTCTCATTGTGTCAAGGCCCTGAGCATCTGGTTGAGCAGCGTGTCTGAAGGTGTGCAATCCGGCCTACCCCTGTGCCCCAAGTCTATGCCGAACCTGCCAGCCCCTGCACTTTGTTTACCCTCGCATGCAATGAGCCGTACATCCACTTTGATCTGGCTGATCAAGAGGCAGTTTAAGGACAGCCCCCAAGGTCCTCAGGAATTATTTAACGTCGCAGACAGGACGACGATCACAGCCAGGGTTCAACACCGAATCCCGCCAAAAATGTTTATAGACGGTCTGGTGAGCGTCTGTTCAAAGGGCTGTCATGACCTCTATTGCGCAGCAGCAGAACCAAGGTCTTGTGGCAAATCATGCGTGTACTAGTCCCAGCGGGTTGGCATGGTGACCGTGACCCGAGTGCTTCATCCAGGGCCCTTCAGAGGCTTCGCCCGTCTCCCACCAGCTTGCTGCCCAGGAAGAATGTCGATTCTCAAGGTTGAGCACTCGCAACACCTCACATTGAGAGGACTCTCAAGACAGAACTCACTTCCTCACGGTAAGAAGTAATGAAGAGGGTAGATAAGGAAGAGAGGAACATACCTCATAATGCTGCCCCCAACCACAGATTTCTCACCGGCAACCTGATGTGCATTTATGATGACCGGTCCTTGCCTTGGCACAACAAACAGCAGAATGCAGTTCCACCTCGGCTTAAATGCCACATCAGCGAGCTCTCATCATCCAGCGTACACCCCTAATGTCACCACATAGTTTCCTGGCGTGCCAACACGACCCTGGGCCGCCTATCATTCAACACCCAAGCCTTATCACTGCCCCACACTTCATGCGGAGCACGAAACAGCTATTGCGAAGAATCGATGAAGCGCAGTTTGAACCAGCTCCGATACCAAATTGCAGGGAAAATGAGCAACAGCGAGATGACAATATCCAGAGTAACAATCACATTGAAGGCCAGATGGTATCACAGTGTCCAGAAAGCAGCATTGCACCAATATGAAACCAATGGAGAATCGTAACACTGAAAACCAATGTCAATGAGAGATTGCTCTCGTCACCACCAACACAAGAGTCCAGGACCTTCTCCCTACTTGGCCCTCAGCGCCCAGCCTACTTCCTACACAGCTACTGTCTGCCTACTAATTGACAATGCAATTGTTGACGTCAGCAGCCCACGAAGTACTTGAAGATGCCGCCCATGCAGACCACCGCCAATACCAGGTATGTGCCCTCACGTCATCATCATCATCATCCTTCTCTCTCCCTCGACTTACACCCTCTTCTTCCCCCTGTACACCCGAAGACCACCCATGCGCCTCACTGTAGTCCAAGCCCATCCAGCTATCGAGGCTGGGCTATGGTGCTGCCCTCAGCAGCGCCCTCCTTCCTGCACAACTGCATGCGCTAGCAGCTTGCCTCTCAGCGCCAGCAGCAGCGTACGAGCGTCCGCTCCAGCAGCGCTGCCGCCCAGCATGCAAGGGCTGAATGCCTCTCCAAGCCGCGAGCTCTTTCCTATATGGAAAGAGCCTGCCTGCCTTCGCGGCCTGGCTGGCCTGGGCCTCGGCCCAGAAGCTTCCGGTAGGCCCCGGGAGGCTGCGCCTCTGTTGCAGCCACTGGGCCCCGTTCAGTTGGGCCTCCCAACTGTCTGTGTATGAGGCTGTGATTCTCGCCCAGGGCCTGCATTTTCGGAAAGGCCTGGAAGGCCGTGGAATGTCTTTGCTGCTCGGCCTGTGTTTCCCTCAACCAACTGGCGCGTTACAACTGCCTGAACCCTGAATACGAAATTGACAGCTGAGGGCCTCTCGTGATTTGTTAGGCCCGCCTGCACTTAGGGCGGGCACATTTGCAACAGGGCCCCTTAGGCCTGCCGAGGTCCCAGATCCTCGCATTTGCAGACTGCAGACAATCTATCACAAAGACAAGAAGAAGGGAGTCTCCAAGAAATTTTTAATCCCCTTGGTAGCTCCTCCCTCTCTCTATAACCCCATGGTCTCAACATGTATTGATGACAATTAGCTTTTGTCCTTGCCTGTTATCTCTTATAATGACTGCACAATCTATTCGGAGAACTACCAACGTCAATTTCAGACACGACAAACCTCATCATTACAGAAGACAGGAATGCAGTTCTTACTTATGGTCTGCATACCCTTAATTATAGTTCCCTTCTAGTATAGCAGATGCAGTCATAACTGTTATCCTTCATAAACAATGTCTGACAGATGTGTATCGAATTTTTATGCACATGACAATGATTCACTCAATTTCTCCCTCCCCCCTATCCCCAACTACAAAAAAATGATATCAAGGAAGATGCTAAATGTTTTTCTGATATGGGGCTCCCCATGCAAATGTAAATTATGTAATACCTCGTGTGATGTCCGACCGACCATGTTCTCATATCAATACTCGGGGATGTCCCTTCAATATTTTAGCCAACAATTTGATCGAACAATATCATCCTTCGTTCAGACTAAATAGTGAATACTAATCTACTCAAAGCTCCAGGTATCATGTTTTGGATAAAGACATATATATGGCTAAATGAGTCGAGGCGAAGGATTTAGTAAGCGACCAGGATCAGTAGGCGGATGCGGGGGTTCAAACAGTTAGAGAGACTCTTGTGACGTTCTCAAAAATGAAAGCCGTAAATTGAACTTGGAGAGAGATTTGACTTAAGCAAATTACTCATGATGAGTCTCAGATGGGCAGGAATGGCTGAAATTTTCAATGGAGGAAAACAAATTGATGCGTCTGTGAGGTATATTGACTGCATGATATTTGTGTAGAACTACCAGGCAGGGGTGAATGATGGTACATCCTTCCCACGGGAAGTAATCAATGCCGTCCTTCGGGCCTTCCTACCATAAAGGGGAGGAGCGTGTGTGAGTAACCTTTGTAATCATTTCTGACTTGCCGGTGGAATAGGAACCGGACTGATGCTCCCCAGAATGGAAAAGGAGCCAGAACCTAACTCTGTTTTGTCGAAAAAAAAAAAAAAAAAAAAAAAAAAATTCAGACACAACAAACCTCATAATTACAGAAGACTGGAATGCATTTCTTACTTATGGTTTGCATAATTATAGTTCACTCAGAGCATATTCGGTCATTACTGTTATCCTTTATAAATGCACAAAATCTTACCAATGGTTATCAATTTTTTATGCACATGACAATGATTCACTCAATTTCTGCCCCCCCCCCTCCCCAACTACAATGCTATCAAGGAAGATGTTGGACTTCTTCCTGATATGGGTTTCCCCATGAGACTGTAATACCTTTTTTTTTTCCTTTGTTAAAATTTGTTTTCTTTTTTTTTTGGCTAGAGATCATGATTCACTCACTCGTTATAACTTTTTCTGTGCGCTTTGTGTGTCTGAATTGTACGTTTGCTTTTCTCTTTCTTCTGGTGCTCCAGCTTCTCTTGGTCGCAAAGTCCTGTTGCAAGATTCCTTCCTCTAGGTGAGACGCAGAGCTTGTTATGCTTCCTTTTTCCTGAACTTTTTATCATAAATCACCACCGAGTCTCCCAGCCTTTTTGTTTTCTTGCCGGAGTGGTATATGCACGGCGTCAGTAGGGGCTCTCCCATATGGAGCTCTTTTGCAATGAACCTCCTAGTTCAACACCAATGAGTGCACATATTCACACCACATGCATGATGTATGAGTTCACACAAAATTCACACTGGAGACCAGAGAGATGAAGACCAGGTAGCACAGCTTATCTTTTCCAGAAAGTATTACAAGAGCAATAAGAGTTCAAGTCACCAGCGCTCATCAGCGCGTGCCAATAGGTAACCAATAATCAGCATAAACTCTCAGGTAAGTATCTCTTCCCCTCTGCTCTTCCCTCTTATGTTTCTCTCCACCTTGCTGGTCTTCTCCCTAGCTATGACCTCGCTGTGTCTTCTCTCCCTACATGCATTCACACTCACTATCTATTACTTCATGGATCTACCCTGAATACACCCACTGTCAACTCCACTAACCCCTCCGGAGTCTACTACTAACAACTAGCACTAACACTTCTGCACTGGCGCAGCTATGGCTGCCTTCTCCCTGCCAGTGCTACTTCCTCTCTCTCCCTCACTTAGCGCAGCACTCTGGCCTCAGCGCTCTGCTCCTCACTTCAGCGCACAAGTGCACCAGCACTTCCACACTTCTTGCAAATGAGCAATACTGCCCGAATGTGAGGCTGGCCAGTCCTTTTGTAGTCTTGGTTTGCACTTCAACTCGTGCCAGCCTCTGTTTCTTGGATCCTGACTGGTTCCGGTACCACATCCCCACGGCCTGTCTGCTTCTGAATGTCAAGGCCTGGAACCTTCCCGAATTTCCGTTGGACTGCTGCTGCTTGGGCCCTTGAGTCGTGACCTTTCACTTGTGAACATGACTTTTGACTGTGGATAGTGACTCCTGCCTGTGGGTCACGACTTTTGTCTGTGATACTGCCTTTACTTCGAGGGATGTGACTCTTCAATATGACTTTTCATTAGGAAACGTGACTCCTGCCTTTAAGACATGACTCCTACTTGTAAATCTGCCTTTTCACTCGTGGAATGTGACTCTTCTGAATGGCTTTTATTATGTGACGTGACTCTTGTCCCTGAGACGTGACTGTTTGCTGGATGCCTGTTGGACCAGACTGCTGAGGTACCCGATTGTGACTTTTCTGAGTTTGACGAACTTGGCCTTTTCTTGACCTGGGCATCTGACCCTGAGATCCGAATTTGGGGTCTGAATCGTGGAAGGCCTTTCACTTTGGCTGCTGGCACCAGCCAAAACAACAGAAAAAGATTGCGCCGTGCTGATTTGTTTGGCATGCAACACAGTCCATCACTACATCTCCCAACTTTTTTTTTTGGCCTGAGCGGTCTATGCCCCGTGTCCTCGGGGGTTTGGCCTACCGAAAATGTTTGGCTGGTGGCACCAGCCAGGGGGGGGGGGAAATTGTGCCATGCCGAGTGGCTGGGGCATCAGCCGAAAGAAAAAAAATTGTGCCATGCCACGAGGCTGGTGACGCCAGCCATTAGTTTGTTTTTTTTTTGTAAGGAAAAGAAAGCAGGATAAGAGTAGAAAAAGAAGGAACTGAAGGAGGAAAAAAGGGGAGGGAGAGGGAAAGCCGAGAAGGGGAGAAGGAGAGAAGGGGGAAGGAGGAAGAGGAGAGAAAAAAAAAGGAAGAGAAGCAGAGAGAGAAGGGAGGAAGAGGAGGACGGGTAAGAAGGGGAGGAGAAGCAAAGCAACGTGGACGAGAAGGTGGAGGAGGAGAAAAAAAGGAGGAAGAGTTGCATGGCAAAGCAAAAGTTTCATCAGCAATGTGTGCAGCCCCCCAGAAATTATAGTAATTCATTTGTTATGGAAATATTTGCTCAAGATCCTACCTCTTAAACCTCCAGTACCCCGACCAGGCAAAAAAAAAAGCTTCCTGAATTCATGGAAGACCCGGGCAGGCCCGGTGGAGGCTGGGCAGAGCCTCGGCAGAGGTACAGATGGTCGCTCGTTTTGAAAACGAGGAGCGACCAGAGAAGACAAAAAAAATAAAATCGAAGTGACAAAAAAAAATAAAATCATGGGAATAGATTCAATAGAAATGATTGGAACTGAACCCGGGCTTCAAGGGCAAACCACTAGAGCCATACTTGCTGCTCGACTGTTTCTATTTGACGATATATATATATATATTTTTTAGACCATTTCTCGATTTATGCGTGTCATCCTTTCGCAGGGGCCATGCTAATCTTCTCTGTATCGTTCCAATTTTAACGGATGTCCCGAAGGACCTGCTCGACTGTTTCTATGTGCACGTTGGGAATGGATTTTCCGCCAGAACCTGTCTTCCTACAGAAAAGATTAGCACCGCCCTGTACAAGGATGACGCAAACAAATCAAGAAAGAATCCCGCTCCCCCCCAAATAAAAGGAAAGGTACAGCGCCAGTCTGCCTCTGGTGATAGGCGGGAAGTTTCTCTGACACGTGCATCTTGAGAAATTCACGGAGGGCCAATTTGCTGCACGACTGTTTCTATTTGCACTTGGAAATGAATTCTCGGCCAGAACATGTCTCCATACAGGAAAAAAAAAAAAAAAAAACATCATGGCCCTGCACAAGGATGACACGAATAAATCAAGAAAGAGTAAAAAAAAAAAAAGAAGGAAAGGTACAGCGTGATAGTTTTTGTCTTTTCTGCATCTGGGGAAAGGTGGGACGTTACTCGGACACTTTCCTCATGAGGGATTTGCGGAGGGTCACCTTAGTTCACGAGCGATCAGATGTGATGAGAGGGAACGAATCATTAGCAAGAACGGGTCTTGGTACAGAGAAGATTAGCACAGCCCTGTGCAAGCATGATACGAAGGGGAGAAAAGGAAAGAGGCCAAGGGGTAAAAAAGAAAAATATGACGGGAAAAAAAAAAAAAAAAAAAAAAAAAAACAGAACACAAGGTCCGGTCCCCCACATTGAAGGACCGGTTGCTCAGTGTGTGTCCGCTGCTCACAAGGTCCATTCATGACGAACAAAGAGGTTCGTAGCATGGAAAAAAAAGTGGTTCGGCAGAGTGCTCCGGAGGGCACGTTTCCCAGCCATTTTTTCAGAGTTGCGACCTATTGGAACATCCTGCCTTTTGGCGGGAACTTCATTGTAGCCTGCACCTACCCCCAGGGCCTGAATCTACCCTAGTACCTGTCCATTTTTTTAATTATTATTATTTTTAGTGAAACAGGTCCTTATGGTCCTGGCTCCATTTCCATTCTGGGGATCGTCAGTCCAGTTCCTATTCCCCCGGCAAGTCAACATTGAATACATCATAGTACACGCTCACACTTCCCGAAGGAACCCTGACCAGCATTGATTACTCCTATATGGGAGGATTGACTGTCAGCTTGCCCAACCCTAGTTTTCCTCTCAGAAACCCTGTTGGTTCTGTCGAATAGGCACTGAAACACGAGAAAACTGGGAGAGATGTCTGTCATTCTGAGGCTATAGCCTCAATTTGCCCTTCTTGGGACTGCATTATTGTCGTTGTTGGAGTGGACCACTTCTTCCAAATCAATTTGTTGTATGTGACTGTTGCGATCTTTCCCTGTAGCAGCCAGTCTCTCATGAAAATTTGTCTCCTGAGTACAAGTCTCTTAGGTTTGCCGTCACACTCCATTTGCAACGGATCTCTGTTCCCACCATCCTCAGCAGAAGGATCCACATTTCTTCCTTGGCCACTTCTGAACCCTCGATTGTCTTGTTGCATCTCCTTTTCCTTATGACCCACAGGGCTAGTTTCCTGAGCATGTAGAACTAGACCACTTTTCCCCCTTTTAGATTGTCAGGGATGTTAGATAGGACTAGGATATTCTGAGGGGTGAGGCTGGGGGTAAGAGATAAGAAGAGAAGGGACCATAGGCTTCGGACGTTGTTCCATATCCAGATTGCCCGACCACAGTAGAGGAGGCAGCGGGCTATGTCCTCCAGAACGCTGTCACTGCATTGTACGCAGAGTTCCGAGCTGTCAGGGTCTGAGTGTTTTCTCCTTTTGTGGAGCCACCGGTTGACAGGGAGTGCCGCGTGGGCAATGAGCCACTGCATGCTACGAATTCTAGCTGGTCTGATGGGGAGGTATCTGTCCAGGGGATGGATATTGGGACGGATGGCGCTAGGTTCAGTGTCTCATTCCATCCGTCTTTTAGTTTGAGATCCGGGTCTGTGGTCTGTACGTCTAGGTTGTACCCGAGTTTTACGTCGTATTTGAGTATCGTTCTTGTTTTCCTGGACTTGCCTTGTTTCCATACCCCACTCCTTTGGATCGAATTCAAGCTCTGAAATGTTGTGGTCAGGTTGAAAGATTATCCACAGTTTGGTTTTCGATACCCTCACTTTTTTGTCAGTATGATCATATCCAGCTGAGGTTCTCTGTTGAGGATGGCCAGTTCCTGGAGGTTGTGGTTGGCGACGGGATAGGAGATGGCTGAGGTACGAGATACGAAACCATATGCTAGTCGGGCGAGGTCTGGGATATAAGTGTAACCCAATCCCCTGATTTCCAGAAGAAGTCGTCTTTCAAAAGGGGAAGCCGATATGGTGGGATGCTCTTCTGGATTTGGGTTTATCTGCGAGGGAGTGACACCCTTTTAGAGTGGAGCGGAGTTCTTGTTCCGTATGCCAATCGCCCGTTCTTCTGCCCACAGGTGTTTTACCTGTCACACCCCTTTCTCGACCTAGGATAGCCATCTTCGCTCCTTCAAACGAAGTGACCAAGGATTGCCCTCGGGGTCTTTGATCCATGGCTTGCACAATAGAGGCTGTCTCAGGACCTCTTCTTTGTTCTCCGCTGTGTTGTGTTTGGCTGGCATCGTTCGTCGCCGTGCTTTCAAAATTGGGGTCCAGTACGGGTTAGGCGTTCTGGCGGCCCGGTTTTCTGAGTCTTGTGTGGTGCTCCTACGGGATCTGCCTGATCTTATCGTCCACTCCTTTGCTATAATCCAGAACTAGCCACTCATGTTAGGTGGAGAGCTTGTTGGTGCTAGGTTTCTTATGCTGTCTAGGGCCATCTTGGTCCATGGTAGGTACTGTCTGGTCAGGATCTTGACGATCCATTTCATCTGCAATGCTATTGACTCTTGTTTGGGGTCAATTAGGCCTAGGCCTCCCTCTGTGGTTTCCTAATGATATGACTCCATGCTACCTTGTTTATGCATGAGGTTCGGTTGGGGTCACATGTCCAAAGGTAGCATCTTGCTTTGGCCTCTATAGTTTGGAGGTCCTCGTCCGGGGGAGACCAGATAGATGCAATGTACCATAATATAGAAAAGAGAGCCGTGTGATGCAATGTACCATAATATAGAAATGAGAGCCGTGTGTCCTTCGGGACATCCGTTAAAATTGGAACGATACAGATAAGATTAGCATGGCCCCTGTGCAAGGATGACACACATAAATCGAGAAATGGTCCAAATTTAAAAAAAAAAAAAAAAAAAAAAAAAAAAAAAAGATAGCCGTGTTTATTATTAGTGCCCTCCCGATGAGCGATGCATGTGCACTCTTGCAGGGGCCAGGCGAGTTATTGCTTTGGAGATTGGGCTTTGTCCCATTCCTGGCCACACTCCGTCCTTGTTGACCATGATACCTATATATCGGAGTGCCTGATCGCCTGTGGACCACGACATGGGCGTGGCTGTGTCCTTGGGTTGGGGAGGGCAGTTAAAGTGTGTCATCCATGTGCAGGGGCCATGCTAATCTTCTCCTTCCAATGTTAACGAATGTCCCAAGGGCAAGATTAGCATGGCCCCTGCGCCAAGATGACACGCATCAATGAGGAAGTGGACCAAATAAAAAATAAATAACCCAAAAAG